AACGTTTGGTGGTCTGAGGCATGTTATCGGTTGAGTCGGGATCTTGTCAACAGAGCGGGCCGAGATGAAGTGGAATTGCCGAGCCCAGGCGGCGCAGGTCGGAGGAAAACAAGTATGTTTCGGCAAGAAGTAGCGCTCAGATTGGGACTGAGGCGTTGCACAAGGCTTCAAGATCGAGGCCATCTAGTCTTCACGTGTTTAATGTCCCATATGTAAGGTGTTTCTTCGCACTGGTGATAATGTTTCCCAGCTCAGAGAGCAATACCTAGCGAAATGTGGAACTTGGAAGTCACTTACCTGCCAGGCTGACAATTGTGAAAGTCTTCGTCGCCGATTCTGCGCTTTCGATACATAGAAAAGTCAAGCAGGAGAAGTTACATCAAGACCGCTCGATGAACATCATCGTGGATGCGTGATGCAGACACCAAACGGAGATGCCCCGCACTCCCCCGGGCGAACCCCACTTCGACGGAAACACCGGTGCAGATCCCGTCACCGGGTGCCCAAAACGCGGCCCGGAGTGCTTCCTCCCAAGTGTTTCCTGAGAATTGGTATGAAAAATTCACACTTCCTCGAAAGAAGCTCGAATCTTGGACCTCGATTCTTGTCATTGCAATGAGGCTCAGTATCTTAGGGAGGCTTCCTGTAAGCCAAACGATGAGTCAATGACATCATCCAACACCAACGCCGTGATGTCACTCAACAATCTGACGCCGCGTTCATCGAGGAATGCTTGTGAAAGTGCACCTGGGTTTAAATACTTCGCAATAGCCACGCAAAGCCATTTCCTTGCCGGTTTGTACAAATTTCATTCAATCGACATCTCGCACTACGTCGCACCATGCATGGACCGAAATCTACAACGATCATTCACGAGAAGGAAGGTGCGGACGGCTACGGCCCCGCCTTCGCGACTGCCGTTCCCAATTGCCCAGCCACATACCGCCGACCCCCGGCGGTGAACGCGGGCAGAGCCATCGAAGCGGCTGGTGTGGCGCATGCCAACTTCGCGCCGTCAGCTGGAAAGCCAAATGGAAGCGAGGACTACTCCGAGAACTTGAGTGACTATGTAAGGCTTCGAAATCAGCTGTAGGATTGAGCTAACTCGTATCAGACTGTTCTGCAACAACATGTCCTCTTCTGGGATCGCAACAACGACGGCATCATCACCCCCATCGACGTCTGGGTGGGCTTCCGCGACCTGGGCTTCAACATACCGACTTGTCTTCTTGCGTGTACCGTGATCCCATTCGCGTTTTCGTACGGGACCGTCATGCAGCATTCGTACCTGCCAGACCCTTTCTTCCGGCTATACGTTGATGGCATGCACAAGGCGAAGGTAGGCCTTCCTCTCTGCCGCAGGGAGGGTATGTCTGACTTGGACACAGCATGGCTCCGACTCGGGCGTCTACGATAGCGAAGGTCGCTTCGTCCCCCAAAGATTCGAAGACATTTTCGCAAACTGCAGTGCGAGGAAAGATAACACCTTGACCTTCAGAGAGGTCTTTGACCTGATGAGCAGAAATCGCTGCGCAGTTGATCCGTTTGGGGTAGGTCACCATCCCGAGACGCCCATCAGTCAAAGCTTCGCGACTGACTCTGTGATTAGTGGCTCGCTTCCTTCTTCGAATGGGTCACGACATGGATGCTGCTGGCCGACGACGGAAAGGTTCACAAGGAGGACCTCCGGAGGGTGTATGATGTAAGTCTCGAAATACCCTGGGTAATTATCAGCTTCTGACCGTTTGCTTCTTTAGGGCTCGTTGTTCTGGGACATTAGGGAGAAGAGGCGCTCTGGCGAAGGTTGGAAACAGGGATGGGGACTCGGTGGCGATGGCTTCATCGGCTATCGGAAGAGGATTGGTATTCATCTGTAAACTTTGCCAGGCCGCCAGATCCTCCTTGATGGACAAAAGTCTAATGGACCAACGTGCGGCGTCATTCGGATCACGTCGTTTGATTTCCATGCCATTCAATTCTGATCCCATGCCGACTGTCGACGCTCAAAACCTCATGCTTCTACTCTCACATACCCAGTACCCAGACTCCAAAACTCCAAACCCCCCCATTCGTCACCTCACTTCTTCTCCGCCCACTCTCCCTTCTTATAAACGCCGCCAGTCTTCAAACACTTCGTACCCGATCCTTCAGCCGCAGCCTGAGCCCGCTGCGCCTGCTGCTCATTGTTACTCGGCCGTCCACTCACCAAGTTCATCTCCACGTCCGCCCGCTCCAGCTGCCTCAAAACCTGTGCGCGGATATTGATGTGGAAGAGCACCTTCTTCTTGTGCTGCACAGCCCACACAAACATCACGATCGCGCCCACGAAGCCCACCGCGCTGCAGGCCATCCACGCCCACCACCCCGCCCCCATTTCCGGCTCCCCGCCCCGGCCGCCGTCCGCGACGACCACGATGATAGACGCGAGGAAGCTGACCATCAGGGCGATGCCGACGAGCAGGATCGTGCGGTAGGTCGACTTCTTCGCCACGAGCCGGCCGTTACCCGTCTCGTCACCGAAGGCTCTAACCCGGTGCAGACCGAGGATGCGGTCGAGCTTGTCCCAGAATGTGGTCTTCTTCTTCTTGTCTTTCTTGGCAGGCGTGGTGTTGGCGGCGTCGTTAGCCTTCGGTGCTGGTCTAGTCCGAGTGTCGACGACTTGCAGGTGGTGAGGGGACTGGACGTTGACGGTCTTGCCCGGGGGGACGTTGCTGCTGGGGCCCGCCTCCGGGTCCGTGTTCTTAACGCGGATGGAGGGGATGTTGGGGTCTGTCGAGACGATGTTGTCGGTTGCAACGGCTGGTTCCGGGAGGGGCCAGTCTTCGGCCGTGAGTTGAAAGGGAGAGTTGTTCGCGTAGGAAGTGCGGTTGCGGCGCGGGATGTTGAGAGGCTCGCAGGGTGGGAAGGGGTTGGGCTTGGGCCGGCCGTTCTCGAGCTTCATCATTCGCTCTGCGAGTCTGTTCATGCCGGCGTTGACTTTGGTGGGAGTCGGAGGGACCTCAGAGCCGGTGGCCTTGTTCGGGTCGGTGGTCTTTGGAGCGGTGGGCGCGTCGTCGGTCTTGACTCCCAAGTCCTTGGCGGCCCCGACTGGGGCATCTTGAGGGCTGGCGGCCATATCGACGGCGGCCTGTGGCTTCCTGGGGGTTGTCAGTTGCGTCGTTCGAAAAATCAGAGAAGATTGAATTCGCTGGGAGAAGGGGGCACTGATGGTACTGATGGAGCAACTTACGGGGGCTCTTGGCTGTCGGTCATTTTGTAGGCTTGGTCTCCTTTGATCGGCCCGCTGCGAACAATGCTTTGTGAGCTTCCCTGGGAGACAGTCCGCGACGGGGTCAAAGGGGCGTGACACCAGCGTATATGTTGAGACAATGCGTGGAAGTGGGAACAATGCCTCGATGGAAGGTTTTCGAAGTTCCTTCAAAGCTGCGATGTTCTTTGATGGGTGGCAACGAGAGTCAAGAAAAGCTCTCTGTGAGGTGTGAGGTTTCGAGGTTTGAAGTTGGAAAGAGGGAAGAGAGGAGAATATTCGAAATTGTTTTTTGAGGGACAGGACGAGAGGTGTCACATGACGCCCCAGCCGCAATGGGAAGACCACGCTCTGAAGTGGTGGTGCGGCTGTGCCATTTTGGTCTTGATATCGGAACGCGGCTTGATGCAATCGTGGTGGTGTTGTAGCAGAGAGCTGGAGCTGCGAGTGAACTTGGGAAGTCCAACTTGGGTGGGGCTCACCAGAAGGCGTGGTCTAAAGGGATGGAAAGCAGTCAGTCAAGATGGCTTTGTTGACTGGAAAGAGTCCAGTTGGAATATTGCAACACATTAAAGGAGATGACAGAATAGCTGAATGAAAGGAGCTTCAATGTTGGTTACACCTAATTGTCAAGTCATGCCCCTTGTAGAGAACCTTTCGATGGCAATCAACGTATCATTCCAGAACTTGACAGCGATTTCTTTTTCATTTCACTTCTTGAAGGTGATGGGAGCGATGGCGAGACTGACGAAACTTTCGTTCATGACCAGAAGCCGTAAGGCTGGCAACAATTAGCAGGCCGGCTGGGACCACCATTCGCGAGTCTGCCGCCTATGCATGCTGCTCCTGCAGTCTATCCTCCAGGATACAGTGATAATGTCTCCTCTTCAACGTGTCGAGAGAGAAAACTTTCTCTAGAGTAAGTCTCCCTCAGCCGTTTCAATTCTGAAAGACAGGCCAACCTTCGAGATACAACACAATCATGTCTTCAGCCACCCCAATATCATATCAGAACCAAACAGAGGCATTTCGCATATCTCCTCTCCAACTATAACAAGATTTAACAGCACGTCATTTTAGATACTAAGTCAACGTCCGTGACAGGATCTTCGACCACTCGTGTTCCACTTCACCCTCTCACGCCCCTCAACAGACCCCACGTCTCGCTGCGAGAACCCGCTCGAGTGGGGACCAGCCCACTCAAGCGCACAACTTTCACGACCATCAACACGGGCAAGATGGCCGAGCGGTCTAAGGCGCTAGCTTCAGGTGCTAGTCTAGAAATAGGCAAGGGTTCGAATCCCTTTCTTGTCAACACACGAGGCGTGGTGCCTTCACTTTTTGTTGTTCGTTGCACTTTTAGACTTTTAGGATCACCAGCGATGTTTCCTTTCCTTTGGATGCAATAGTATTGCAGGGCTTGTTCTCGTCGGTCTTTGGGAACTGTACTGTCGTCTATGAAAGCAAGCCTTGGTTTCTGAACCTCCAGACGGACACAATTCCGGGATAGAATGTTGTCCCTTGGTTTAAATCAGGCGTAGATTGCATGTGGCACAAGATCATAACAGCAGATGATGTTAACACGGAATATTTCAATTAACTTCAAATCATCCTTTGCGCAACCTCAAACTCGATTCAAACTCGATTCATTTCCGCTGTTGTAGTGAGACCTCCTCCGAAAGTCCCCTCCCGTCCCCGATGCCCCTAAATCCTTTACATTAACTGTCTCCGACGTCACCGTGACGCTGCATGCTTACTCGGGTTCTGTCTTGATCCTCTTTGCCTTTCTCGATGTGTCGTCTGCCACCCGCTTCCTCCCGAGTACGAATCTTTTGGGCGCTATGGCGTCCAGCACTTGAGCGAATGTTCTCTTGTAGTCCTCCTTCGCTAACTCCGCAACGACGGCCGGATAGGAGTTCTTGATGGCGTCGCAAAGTAAAATCGTAAGAACGGGATTATCCTCCGTACGGGAAGGGTCGACACATAGTCTGCTCAACCACATGCGAGCGGCATAGTGGCCTACGTACTTGTACTTTGCCGGATCGGTGTTTGCGATGCATCTGACCTGGGCGGCTATCATGGCCCTGGTTGGGTTGAACCATTTGCAGACGACATTGTACAAGTGTCTTGGGCAGCCGCCCTGAACCCAGTTATCGTATTCAACGTGATGCGGATAATCTGCGTGATAAAAGTCTCTCGGAGGAGTGAGCTCGTCATGAGCGCCCAGGCCGACTAGAGTGATGTAGGGAATGGAATAGAGGATTGTCATGTATGCCTTTGCCTGAGCGCTATGATTTTCCCAGAAGAACATCCATTTGTTTTCGGACGGCTCGCCGTCTGGACAGGTTACAAATTCCCATTGATAGGGAGTGAGACTTTTCTGCATGGCTTTCTGCCATGCTGGGAAACCTCTTCGGTCTTGCAGGGTTGGGATTCCTTTGGACATGGCGACAGTGCTGGAATCTTAAAAAAGAAAAGTGAAAAAAAGGAAAGAAAAGATGTAATTTGAAGTCTCGTCTGAATGAAAAGAACCTGTAGAACAGGAAGCTTCGGACTGCGCACGATTTATCTCGAGAGGGACCACGAGGACCTCAGGGGTTAGAAGAGGCCGGAAACGTTTAGTGGCGCCGAGAGTAGCGAATAGCATCTCTGGCTCTAAGCCTCTACGTCGCTAGTCATACAACCAAGCAGACGATGACAGGAGGTAGAAAAGGGGCGCGCTAAACCCCTATGTCTCGGTCACTAAGGAGATGGCGGGTTGGCTGGCTGAGGAACGAGTGGCATGTGAGGAAGACTTCTGCGTGGGTCCCTCAGCGCAGCCTTGATTCCTCTAGGCGGCATCATCACATTGAAAAACAGCGCAACATTCAAAAGAAACGACTGTGTTATTCCGATTACTTTTTAGTATGCGTGCCACAAGACAGACGTCAAGTCTGGTCGCCGCTCTCGACCTTGGTCACTGGTCTCTCCCTTCCTTGTCTTCCTTTCTACTATCCTTGTCCTCCTTTCTCATCATCCCCCTTCGTCTTCCTTCCTGAACCCCATCGTCCTTGGCGTATGCCCCCATACCCCTGATTTATGATGTATAATCGCCGGAGGATATCAATGACGATAGGACCCATCATATGCGTCTCTGAGGCCCAGGCAGCTAGTTTTCGAGTATTGCGATGAGGGCATCCCATGATAGAACCCAGTTGTCACCCGGCTCTTTCCCAGGCAGCGCAGAATCGTATACCTCCATGCCTCTATATAGAAGCAGGGCCAGAATCTCATTTGGTTCCGTTGGATCCTCAACAGCGGCGATCTTGACCAAGTTTGCGAACGAGGCGAAGTCCTTTTTGGATTGGTAGATGCGAAAGGGGGACCAAACCAGGTTCGAAACGTGCATGGCTCTCTGCGAAATCGATGGGGCGAGGAATCTCTTGATGAGTTCGAGGAGTTTATGCGGTTCGTTCTGGGTGGGGAAAGTATAGCCACAATGCCTGAGGCCGTCGATGACGTCTTTGGAGAGGGAGTCGTACATCAAGTCGAACAAGGCCTCTGGCGGACCGAGAGTCATCAGATACATCAACTCGTTCTCGGAACTTGTAAATCGCACTGGAGCGCCCTGGATATTGGTGCGGTATACTTGACAATACGCAAGAAGCGACGATGACCAGAGATTCCAGTCACGACGATCGCGAAGGGGAGGCAAGGGCGGGGTTCCTCCAGACATATTGATGGTACTGCAAGCGTTGTTTTTGTAGCTGAGACTGTGAAGCAAAACCAAAAGCAGAATGTGTTGATGTTGAAAATCTGTGGAAGAGACGAGATTGACGAGGCATGTCGTTGCAAGATGGCGAGAGGGAAGATGGTCGACAAGGTATCTAGTGAAGGCTGCCCAGAGAGATGTTCTTTCCTCCATGAGCATCGAGTTGGTGACCAACTGCCAGTGCAGGTGCAATAACTGTGACGGCAGCAGCTCACATGGGCGAGTGACGAGCGCTACTCCAGAACTGGCTACAATGTATCACGCCTGCCTCTATTTGAAGGCCAACAGCGTATAGGTTTCCCAGTCGGACGGGGTTGACGTGGATGCCAGTCTTGTCTTGGCCGTCGCTCCTGTCGTCGTCGTCGTCTCCGTCGTCCTTGTCGTCCATGTCCTTCCTCATCCTCGTCACTGCCGCCTCATCCACTTGAATCGGAAAGTGCTCGAAACCACGAAGCGAAGGATGGAAGTTGCGAACAACCAAGCCCAATGCAAGCACGTTTTGGCGCAAAATCCCTTCCACCCTTCCACGGCAATTACCACATCTATGACGCTGACTTCTGACCTTTGCAATTGCTTCTCAGCAAATAACGATCTAAACATCCCCAGCAGCAAAGGCGCAATGGAAGCGATTCAGGGACCAGCGGTACTTCAGGTACTGCCGCGCGCCACACAGCACGGTCCACCGCTGCAGATGCCCAATTAACCCCCCACAATCAACGACCTCGCTGCCGAGACAGGCAGGTGGAGACGCCCTCAGCCCTTTCAGTGTGTACCGCAGACGTTCTCCCACCGGCCCGGCAGCCACATCTTGGGCAGGACCACTGAACGCCCTGATTCAGGGGCAGCCGCGTGCTTGGGAGGGGTCATGCTTGCGCCGAACGCTGATTCGACATCATCCTCTTCCTGAATCACCTCATCAGCCAGATTGCATGGTAGATGCCTTCAACATCGGCCAGCTGCGTTTCCCATGCCAAGCAGAGTCAAATAAGGCAATTATGTAAACCAGTTTGCCAGGCGGTGCATCCCTTAAACGAGCGATAATGGCAATCCTCGAAATAGCATCGACGCGAGATTTACGAGATGGCCGGCTTGTGGGGAAATCTCCTGTCCCAGCTCTCATCATGTGACACGACAACCCAGGGCGCCCCTGGTCAAAACGTTTATCTCAACTGATATTATTCCCCGACTTTCAGCATGGGTTCTGTAATTATTGAAGTTCATGCAAACCGCCGATCTTGATAAGAAATCAAGGATATCCAGGTGAGTAGGCGCGTAGACTGCCAAACGCGGCCAATGGGCGGCCAAACTACAGCGCTTGGTACGACAAGGTTCGCAGGGGAGGCGATGAACGCAATCAATTGCTATTGAAGTTTGAAATCACGTCAGCTTCGCTTGCGCTTGGTGGTGTTACGCGCGCCTTTAACGCCGGATGACCTGACTTGGTTTGACCAACAAGGTAGGAAATCGCCGGTCAAGCGGAATAGAGTCAAATTAAACCAGACGGTGATCCCAACGAGGGGTTTGCGGCCGCTGGTCCATGATGCCAAGCACTGAAACCAACAGACGAGGGTAGAGGGAATCGCGTCCGGCTGTTGACGAGGTTTCGACCATACTGCAATTTGCAACTTTCCAGCTATGAAAATTTAGGTTGTCATGCTATTGGTGCAAGACGGCACACCAGACATTGGAAATGGACTCTTGCGTGGGTCTTCGCAGTGTTCAGCTGTTCACAGTGTTCCACCTGTAACCTCTCTGACCCGAGTTTTTACGGGTCCAGTACCGACCCGAAATTTCTCGGCTACCGACTTAGCCAACTCCACCTTCAGCCCATGTATCAATCACATCCGATATGGTGTAGTGGCCAACATGATGCCCTCTCATCTTGTGAGAGGTTAGGCATAGCCCCGAGTTCGATTCTCGGTTTCGGAACTTGATCTTTTGCTTTTTTTTTTGCCTCGTCATTGTCTAACAACGATGGCATGCAAGACCAGTCTTGGAATGACACCACTGGCAACATGTGCAATATTTCCCAAGTATGAACAGTGTTGATAAAATATGTACCAAGAAGACTAAACCATCCCCAACTTCCATCACAACTTCACATTCGGAACCTCAAAAGTCTGCACCATCTTGGACTCAAAGTAACTCCAGAACTTGGTCCCGCTCATCACCGTATCATCCGCCTTCACATACCGATCACCGCTGCCCACCTGCGTCCTCCACCGCGTCACCTTCGCCCCATCCGTCGAGCCCTGCGTGAACTTGCTCAAGTCAAAGTTGAGATACTGCGCACTGCCCCAGTTGATCGCCACAATCACCAGCTTCGAGTTCGCCGCATCGTACGCCGCGACCACATTATCACTCCCTCCGTCCAGAATCTTCATCCCCTCGCGGATGTGCCGCGTAAACTGCGCAAAAACAAAGTACTTCTGGTTCGCGGCGCCCAGCGTGCCCGCCTCGTTGTCGGCATCAATCACTCCCCACCCGCCGCCATCCAGCACCTGCCAGTACACCCACCCCGTCGGCCGCAGCCACCGGAAGTCCAGCAGCATGTTGCTCACCAGCCGCTCGCCCGTCGCGTCGTTCTCGCCGTACTCGCTGTTCCACAGCCGCTGACCCTTGCTCGCCGCCTGCGCGTACAGCTTGTCGCGCGCCCCGTTGCCGTACTGGTACCCGTGCACGTTGATCCGCGCCACCTTATCAAGCGCCGACCCCAGCCCATTCCACGTGCTCACGGCCTGGTCGTAGTACGACTCGTCCGACGCGGCGATGGTCATGCTGTTCAGCCCGCGGTTGTCGAGCTCCGTGCGGAGGTAGTTGATGATGCTCGCCTGCGTGGCGACGTCGATGTGGCAGCCCTCCTGCGTGCCGTCCGCCTTCCACCAGTTCGCCGTCGGCTCGTTGAACGGCTCGACGCTCTCGAACGTGATGCCCCAATTGTCTTTCGCGTACTTGGCCACGACGGCCATGTAGACGGCGTGCTGCTGCAGGTTCCAGCTCTGTATGTTCTCGCTGCCGTCCGCCGACCCGGAGGGGTTGTGGTTCTTGGTCATCCACCACATGGGCGAGTTGCTGAACAGCTCGAAGCGGTTCGCCCCGCGGCTCTTGGCCTTCTGCATCATCCCGCGCTGGTTCGCGTCCACGCCCCAGCTCCAGCTCGTCGACGCCGGGTCCGCGCTGTTCCAGTCGAGCCAGTGGCCCTCGATCTGCCGCGAGAGCATCATCTTCGACGACACCACCATGCTCTCGCCGTTGATGCTGTTCCAGCTGCACGCGCCCGCGTTGTGGCGCACGATGTTGAAGCCCAGCCCGGGCAGGCTGGCGCCGGACCAGGTCGTCGACTTGGTCGTGAAGAAGATGTCGGCGAGGTCGTCGCGGTTGCCGAACTTGCGCGCCCACCAGGCGAGCGAGGTGCCCCAGCCCTCCCAGGTGCCGCGGTCGGACTTGGCGTCGATGGTGGTCGTCGTGTCGGCGGCGACGTGGCCCGCGAGGAGGGCCACGGCCAGGTTGAGTGAGAAGTGCATGATGATGCTTGTGTGAGGAGAAGATCGAGCCCGAGGAGACTGATGATCCTATCCTCCTGATAGGGGAAATATTGGTATAAGTGTGGACTGGACAACGACCTTTATGTCCGTCGTCTGATACGGACCTGATGACAAGACGGAGCCCGCAGGGGCGCTGACTCGAGAGGCGGGACCACGATGTCTTGGAGTGGCACTGAAAACGGGGATGAGCGGACCGGTGGGAGAGTTGCGTCCCTTTTTTGGGCCAGAATGCCATGCCGTCATGTTGGAGATTAACATACCATAAGAGGGTGGCAGAGGGGGTAGAATACGCGCCGTCTGGTCGTCGAAACGGCGGTTGGTGCCGCTTCGAGCTCGGTCGTTTGGGTCCGACACGGACGTGGCGTCCATTCCCGCTGGTTGGGGTGTTGCTGGCTGGTGGTGTTGATCACATCAAGCGCACTGGCCCCGCAATCTGCAGATGCAGTCGTACTTCGGTTCGTTCCATCTTTAGAGTTAAATTGCCGGCGATGACACGAGGTCACTTGGCGCCGCCCGTGCTTGGATTAATCAGGCAGTTGTGAACTTGGGACCTGTGCTGGTGGACCCGGGCCGAGAGGTGCGCGACTCAGCCCTCAGGAGTCGAGACGAATAATGCGGATCTTATCTCGGGATGTGGTGCCACGTGCTATTTCGGAGACCAATATGGTATTGCAAGACGGCTATTCGGCTTGAATGTACAACACAGAAGGCGATACAAGAAGAAGAAAAATTGGGCAGACGGATGCCGCGGCACTACTCCCAACATGCAATCATTTCCGTCCACCAAAAGCCATATCCATTCATCAAAAGCTTGTTATCCATCCATCCTCCCGTTGTCAACCAGAAATCCTCCGCGGAAGCGATCCAATCTATGTGCCTGGAATTCCCAAGCTCGGCCGAATGGTATGCACCGTCGTTCGAAGCCGTCCGGACAGAGTGTGGGGTAGGCGCCATCGGGGTGGTGGCATGCATGGCAGGGTGCCATCGGAGCAGGCCGGCCTCGCGCGTGCATTGGCGGAAGATCATTGAGAGAAAACATGGTGTCGACCGGTTCGGCTCCGGGATCCGCGGACGTGTCATGAGACCTCATATGATTGCGCGCTAGGGAGGCAAGCTACGTTGAAGCCTGTTTGGATTATTCAGTGTTGTATCTGTGGCGGTCGTTAGGGGAGGTAGAATGCGGGGAATCGCCAAAATTACAAGAATACTGCAAGTAAAGCAAGTGTAATTGTTTGTGTTTTTGTGCTGATTGTCGTCGTCATGCTCAAAGGGCTTGATTGTCGTCGGCGGAAGCTTGTTTGAACAGTTAGGTCAGTGTTTGTCTGGGAAAGCAAGGGAAAATACTGACCCTTTGACACATTGACCAAGCCATAATCTTACAAAGCTGTAGCAACCAAAAGATGCAGCATAAAGACGCACCTCCAGCGACCTTGTGACCAACTTTGGGCCATCTTCATCCACGTCTCTTCTTGATAATCTCCTCAGCCTTCTGCTCAAAAGACCTGTAAGGGACATAAGGTGTCGTTCCAAGGGGATCGGTGGACTTCGGGGCGGCACGGGGATTGTATCCTCGGGGCGGAGATCCCAGGGGAATGGCACCTGGAGAGACAGCTCGAGGCTGCGGACGCTCTTGCGTAATCGACCTCAACTCCGCGGCGCTAAGAGATTGCCGAATCCTGTTCATCGACGGAGACGGCTTGTGCAGGGGTCTTCCGCCCGGCAGCTGTCCTCTGCCGCCCGAAGAGTGGATCGTGCCAGGGCTGGCGGTGGCGCCGCCGCTGCGACTACCATCCCGTGCCTCTCGCAGCAGGGCTTCGGCCTCCTCAACCTTGGCCTTCTCGAGCTCCTGGTATACTCTGTGGAACTGCTCCCGAACCTTCTCCATGCGGGCGAAGAGAATCTGCTGCTGGTTGTAGAACTCCTGCCTCTCCTTGTATGCCTTGTCGAGCGCCCTGACCAGATCGGCAATCTCCTCTTCAGAGTACAGCTTCTTGGGTGGGTTGGGCGTGTCGAAGCCAAAGATCTCAGGGTACGGGCCGTAATCAATCTCCACGAGTTCTTGGGGCGGCGACGGAGGAACGTCCGAATCGGCGTCTGCCAAGAGAGCCTGCTCCCGAGAGTTGTCGGCTCCGGCGGGGAGGGGAACCTTGCGGTTGCGGACGGCCTTCTGCAGACGAGTACGACAAGCATCGACAGCGGCGTCAAGAAATTCGGGACTGGCATTGTTTTCGTCGATGGTCTCCTCGAACAGCTTCATGCCGCTCGCCTCCTCTTCATGCAGCGACTTCAGCTGTTTTCTCAGAGCCTTGACCTTGTGGCCAGCCTCGGCGCTGGTCGGGAGGACAGGACGTGGAGGAGGGCGAATGGCTGGCTGAACACAGCGACGCTTGGAAGCAGACTTCGTCGGGGTATCGGGAGGGCCATCGGGGCTTCCTGATCGCTCTCTGTTCGGGGTAGAGCTGGCTCGGGGCTGGGACAGGCTGTAGTTCAGGGGAACGGTGGAGTCGTCAACGTCAGAGGGAGTCTGGCCGTCGAAGAAGGGGTCGGTGTTGGTTGCACCCGAGTCGACGGTGTCGGGCGTGACGGCTCTCTTCCTGGCCTCGGCGGCTTCGTTGCGCTTTCGCTTGCGCTTGGTCTTCTTCTGGGCAGGAACGGGGGTCTGCGGATCGCTCTCGGCGTAATCACTATCGTCACTATCGCCGCTACCGTCAGACATCTCGACATCTTCCTGAATCTCACCCTCGCTGGCCTTAGAGACGGTGATGGAGACGGCGGTCTCGGATGCCTCCTCGGAGGGCTTCTTGCCGTCGCGAGGAGACGAAGTAACCCTGGGCTGCGCGCCGGGGATGGGAACGAAGCGCATGCTGCCGCGCGGGCTGGGTTGTCCTCCAGCCATTGGTGTGCCAAGTCCGAGTTGTATGTCGGAATATTTGCTGCTGTTGTCGAATGATAGAGTTGGCGGTGTTTTTGCTGTTGTAGGAGGGGCGGAAAAGGTGGTTGTGGGCGCAGGGTTCGCAAGGTCGTAAATCCGTCCAGCTTTTTTGATCTTGACCATCGCAAGAGGCAGGAGCCAGCCAGCGCAGGACTGCAGGCCGACGACCTTTTTTTCTTGGGTCCTTCCTTCAATATTCACTGGTAAGTTGCAGCGCTCCAAAGCTCATACGAATGCAAGCTAACAAGCAAAACAAGAGAAGAGAACAGGCGCAGCTCAGCAAAAACGAAACAAATGCTACCGTCAGGGTGAAGCTATCATGTTGTTTCAATGTTTCAGGAGAACTCAGCTGTCGTCGTCTACCACTACCGTCCATCGACCAAGAACGAGAGCGAGGAGCCATGGCAGAATTCATGCACCTCTGTGCCCTCAGCCTTGTCCCTTTCATATGACTTGGGTGTTCATCACCATGGCGATGGGCAGAGAGGCCTTTCAACGTGGGGCTGATGCCATCGAGAGCCCTCAGCAAGGAGCACTTCCCTTCACTGGTGTCCCCGACTGGAGGAAATTCCTTTTCCCAAGACCACAAGGACAGCAAAGATCCTTTCAAACCAAAGCATCTTGACCTTCTTTGCTTGGCCCTCGAGTCTACATCCATTGCCTTCTTGCTCCATCTAGCAGAACATTGCCACAGAGCATACAGCAATCCAAGGTTTGCTTACTCCCCTAGTTGAAACAAGCAGAATCTGACCTCGATTCGCAGATGGACAATCGCCAGAACGACCTCAAGGACCAGATCCGCGCCTTCACCAATGCCCTCTCCAAGTCAAGCAAGCTGCCGCTGAGCGCGATCCACGAGGCCCTCGAGTCTTACATCGGCCAGGCTCGCGTCGACGAGGCCACCTCCATCGCCGCCGAAGAGATGCGCCAGGTCATCCCCGGAAGCGAGTACGCCGTGATCTTCCACGGCTACCACGTCCACACCGGAAGCACCCCTGACCACGCCTTCGGATACCCCGTCAACTACCGCACCACCGTCGCGCTCAAGAACCCCGTCTTCTTCGACGTCCTCAAGTTCAACAAGTTCAACGGCGTCTTGATCCCCCAACAGGGCCAGCCTATCCCTCCCTACCACGCTGCGGACTACGTCCCGGGATTCCAGTCTTACGGATGTCCCGGCCTGGCGATCCCCAATCACTGGATGAATATCTTGGCCAGCCCCACCACCGATGCCATTCATGTGAACGCGGAGATCGCTTTCCCCGGACCCAGTGGTGCCGAGAACCGGGACCAGCAGACCTCCAACCCGACCTTCAACCACTTCCTTGCTGAGAGCTTTCCCCAGCAAACCCACATGGCTCCTCCTGGCCAGTTCGTCCCAGACCACTGGAACCAGTCCAGCTACTTTGGCCACCCTGAGCACATCATCGGAGAGACCCACCAGCCTGTCCCTCAAGTCCAACTTCCCCTGGGAATCGCCCCCGTCATCGAGAACAACGTCGCTGCTGATGTTGAGCATGCCGGACAGCAGCCTGCTCGCTGCCGCAGTGTCGAAGAGGCTACCATGCAGTGCCCAGAGTGCTTCAAGCCATACAAGCGACTCAATTACTTGCAGAAGGTCAGTTTCCCAAGTCCTATGGTCCAATTGTCCCCGCTGACAACCAAAGCACCTTAAAAAGCATGGTCGCCGGTACAGCCGCAAGGTAGACTACTCCATCCGTCGCTGAACTAGACAACAGTTAGGCTACTCGGGAGCAGAGACCATGCGGCACTCGCCACATTGCTGGAATTTCCACAGCGTGGTTCACTTTCGCCGGGCGTCCTGTTCGAGTTTCTGAGCGTCACCTTTGTCTTCGCGAGTACAAAATCATGAGGATACTAGTTTGATTCAGAGAGAATGCTATCGTCAGCTAAATGTCTCTGTCATGCACCGTTGCAACCGCCGTAAAGTTATGAATCGCTGTCTTGTGTCGCTTGTTCCATGCGCAATCGCTCTCATACGTCTACCGGCTTGTTGAAGTGCTCGCCTGGCTCCATAGCCTCTAGGAGGAGCTCCAAGAACCTCTCGACCTTCGATTGGGTGAACTTTTGTTTGTGCAGTTTTGATAAGCCCCCAAAGAACCACCGATACCTTTCTGCGGATACCCATGCCAAGTCGCGCAGCGCCGCTGCTGTCTGCGGAGAGCCATTGCCACCCGAATTTTCCGAATGAGCGTCTGCTGGGTCTATTGACCTGTGCCATTCTAGAGTTGTCACCCAATAATCCGACCATTCAGACGAACTCTGGTGATGTTCGCTCGGCTTGAGGTATACATTCGGTCCGACCACGGCGCAGTATACAAGCGCTTCAAGGTTCCTCACGGTGAGGCCAGGGTTGATGAGCTGAGAAAGCTTTCGCACAGCAAGATATCGACGTAGGCCGTGGCTGATCAAGACATCGTTTGGAAACGAATCGCAATCCACCATTTTGTAGGCTTCCAGTCGTAGATCTGTCAGTAGCTCCCACCATTTCACATCGGCCAAGGCGTATCTGAATACCGGCAAGATCTCCGGCAGCCTGCCTCTAGCGTCCCACAGCTCCCTTATCAAGTTGCAGCAAGCGATTGCCTCGCCTCCGCTATTGAGGATTCTCTCGGGAATGGTAACCCCCCAGGCGTTGCCAAGCCAGGGTATCAAGATCTTTACTGATCCCTGTTTAAGATTGTCTTTCCCTGTTTCTTCGTCAACGGGTGGATTAGAGAAGAAGCGAGACAACTTCAGCTTTGGCTTGGGCGGGCACTTACACACGTGCCATTCGTACTCGTTCCTGTGTCATTGCATTAGCTGCTATCCGCAATGGACTGGGGATGCAATGAAGGAATAACATACCAGTTGATTTCGGAAAAGTTCTTGGGGTGGGGGAACTCCGGCTTTTTGCCAGGGGGAGTTTTGTGTAAGCTACACCGGTACAAACTGGGATGGTTTATTGTTGACGCAAGTGAAAGGCGTGATACGTTGCGGTCAGGTAAATCTATTGGATAGTCTGGCTCCTCGGACTTTCTTGGCTCTTCTTCGGGAATCGTTGGAAGTTTGGTGAAATCCATTTCGACAAAGTATAGCTTCGTGCAAAGTTGAAAGAATGGCGGAATCCGATCCAGTAAGATAGCTGATGCGGAGTTCTGCAGATGATGTTGTTGGCAAATGTGAAATCAGGGCGCGGCGGGTCGGAGAGGGGAGAAAGGGTCTATGATCTGCATCACCGCCTGGCTCAAGCGGGAGAAGGAGCGGGCGGTCAGCGAATTCTGCCACGGAAAGCACTGAGAATTGCTCAGGTCGTTCCTGCCTTGAGACTCCTGTCTGGCAGGTTGGAGTTGGGGATGCTCCTTCCTCAACAGATTGCTGGAATTGCTGCCTACCCTGCAACTCCACGTCCCGAGTCTCTGTCTCAACCCAGACCCCACCTTCTCTTTCCAGGCCTCGACTAATCCGCTGGATAAAAGCTGGCAGCTTCTCGATTCTCGTTGCACCTGCAACTCACAACTGTCAGCCCACAGCACCCCTCGAAGCTGCCCGCGTAGGTCTCAGTTGCTTGCCAAGTTTGGAAGCAGACCGACTGACCTTCCAGCAGAATGTCGGCCTTACATCTCGCCATCAAGGATGCGCTCTTGCGTATTGAGCAGGAGAACGCTGAGGACTGGTTCACAATCGACTCCCTCACACGAGCCGTACTTGCCGAGATCCGCCAGGATTGTGTGGCTCGCTCCACGGACCCCCAGAAGGAGCCAGCCGACGAAGGCAGCAGCAGCAGCAGTAGCCAGAGTGACAGCAGTGACGATGACCAAGATGAAAGCGAGGGCGACGAACAAGCCCACAACAATGGCATCGACCAAGTGAACAACAACGGCAACCACCATGCAGGCAATAAGGGCAGGCGCAATAGTTCCAGAATGTATGCCTGCAAGGTCCGTTACTGCCCTCGTGTCTACCAGCACAAGTCAAGCCGCACCCGCGTGAGTTCAGTCCTTTGCCACCTTCTTCGAGTACCATGCTGACAAAACACAGCACTACGCTATCAACCATGGCGATGTGGCTGCACCCACAGACACTGATGAAGAGTAAATCATGTTGTGGTAGAAGCAAAAAGTTCAAATGACACAGAAAGGCTTCAATACAAGTTCTACATCACATTACATCAGGATCTTTAATAAGTGTCTAGGACTGTGTTTTTGCCTCGATTCTTCGGCTGCTGGATTGGCTGTATCGCGTAGTTCTGCTTCCTGCCGGCCTCTCTTGGTCCTGCCTTCCTCCATCTCGAGCATGAGTATCCTTGCTTCTGCCTTTCCCGTACTATTCCCCTCTGATCCTTCGTTGCTCATTGTATTGTCACTGCGGTCACCGTTGCTTCTGTGGTTGTCGCTGCTGTATTGCCTCTAATGCTGCCGTTCGTCGCTCGCTGCCGTCGTCTCTGACTCTGCTATATCGTAAGAATAATTCAAGATGTAAATAAAATTCCAAATTCAGACAGAACACCCCGGGACCTACAGGTTCCTTCCGTTCTTGTTCTACCTTCTCACCTCAGGTGAGCTTGCAGCCTCAGGTGAGATCCTGGTGAGATACGTACCCCTCTCATCAGTCTATTTAATGAGGGCCTCTTCTGCTCAACCCTCCTCTCTTTTCTTCTCCTCCAGACAACAACAACTTCTCAGTCTGTGAAAGGTATCTTACCTCACTACAACCATCAGTACAACCTCCACAAAGGAAGACCAAAGGAAGATGGCTGAACAGACTAAGCAAGACATTCAAGACGCGCTCCTGCGCATCCATGAGGAGCATCCAGAAGATTGGAACGCGTTTGAGCAGGCCAGTCGTCAAGTCCTCGCTGAGATGGGCACTCGACGCGCCCACGAAGAGAACCAGGCTGTCCTCAACACTACTCAAGGAGCGGCAGACACTCACTCCTCAGACATCAACTCCACTCATAACAACCCTGGCGCGGCCATGGCTACTGCCTCAAGCAGGGCTTCAGCTCACGCCAATGTGAGTGAGACTCACATCAGGCCTTACCGCTGCACTGTCCCTGGCTGCGGTAAAAGATATCAGCACGTTCGGTCTCGATACCGTGTAAGTGAAAGACCCCCAAGACCGCAAATCCAAGCCACTAACACTCATCCAGCACTACCAGGAGGAGCATAATGGTGTGGCTATCCCTCCCAGCACTGAGGGTGTTGTCTTGGACACACCCAAGGATGGAGATCAGACTGCCTGAAGGAAGGGAGGGACAATGAACGGGGATAAAAGGCAGAGGCAGTGATTAGGAGGAAGGATGCACTTCATCCGCGCAGGTTCTTTATAAGGAAATCCAATCACATGATTTTCAGTCTCTCGATTCCCTCAATCACCATAGTGCCTTTGTTCAGCGTGAGACAACCGCGCACATTGACAACCTCAATCTCACCAGCAGTTTCCGCCTGTTTCTTCGAAGCCCTTCCTTCCCGGAATTCTCGAAAATAAATTCAAACCATTTTCTGTTTCCGCAAAAAACCAAACCAAACCTTTCCTCAACCACAGCCAACCTTTCACAAAACAATACATCCACCACCAAACACACACCATCAACAAACCGAAACACCCAACTCACCCAACTCACCCAAGTATGCCCAAATCTTTGAGTCCATTTTATCACTCGCTAACCTCTCTTCAACAGGATGCCTACCAAGCTCGAGACCGCCGTCGCCAACGCCCTCACCCAGGCTCAGTCCGAGAGCGGCAAGTCCAAGGACGAGGTCATGAAGATGGCCCACTCCTTCGCCGGCAAATACCTCAAGAAGAACGGCATCTCCGCCACCGACGCCCTCCACCGCTGCGAGTTCGACGGTTGCGAGCGCGCGTACGAGAACCGCAGCTCCCTCAACCGCGTCAGTCCCTGCGTGCCCCAGCCAACTCTTCACCTCCCTTGTTCATGTTCTGACTTTTGTTGCAGCACTACAAGAAGGACCACGACGGCAAGAACCCCGAGGACGAGGAGTAGGCTCTTTGCCGCATGAAGAAGGTCCGGACAGATCGCTGGTACTTTGGCGATTTTGGCCGGCTTGTCCTGCAACTGCCTTCTCGAGCTGTTGCCTTGGACGAACTAGACAGGCGCTGGGCTACGTGGTGGGCTTTCGTCTCAGGTGCTGCCAAGGCTATGCGCTTGCTACTCTAGGTATGTGGTCTCTGTAGCTTCCAGTGTTTCTGCTAGACCCATGACTGACAAGTTTTACCTACAGTTGCAACCCTCTTGCCAGCCTGGCTGGTATCTTGCCCCATTACCCTTCGCCTTTCAGGTAGCTCCTCAACAAAGAAGTCTTCTTCAGTCTCTTGCCGTGTCAAGCTCCAGGCTCCAGCCCTTGACTACTTGCCCATCTATTGGAATGTTTAATTGCCGGAGAGGTACTATCCGGGGCGAGCGAAAGCCTTTCTTCGACGCTCTTTTGAAATTGATGATGGTCCTATCGTGCTCATCAATGGAGCCAGCCCACCCTTCCTCTATCTCACGATCCTTTTCCACTGCGTTGCCTTTCGTGATTCCAGTTTAATTTCACATCAAGTCGTTTTGCGTTCATTTCCCAGCATGTGACCTGAAAACGTCTATCGTTTAACGGACCTGTCTGTCTGCCTCTGCCATACTTAATTAAGCGTCGATGAGGATTTGTGGTACTCTCCTGATACACCCTTCATTGCATCCTGTTGAGGCTTGCAGACAGGTTTATTTTCAATTCAAATCCCTACCAAAGCGGCGTGTACCTTGGTGCAATTTTGTCGAGGACGACGTCTTTGAACCCGGGCCCAGATGAGGCCGCAAGCCATGGCATGCCTCTGAACGCTTGACTGTCCACAGATGACACAGTCATGGCAGATAACAACCGCGAGGCTTACCTCCGCCAGCGCGACTAGAACCAGCAAAACCAGCTGCAGCTGACTTTTGTCCTTTACGACACTCAACACAAGCTGCGCTTTGTCTGGTTCACGAGTTAGCCTCGTTTCTGACCGCGGGACTCAGTTGATTCTCGGTTGTTAGGTGGAAGAGCTAGATGTAAAAGTCACCTATCTACGGCATCTGGTCATGGCATTTTGCCGCCGCAGCAGGCGGCTTCGACCAAAGAATGGTGTCGTGACCTACATCAACAGCTGCCCAGGTCGCCCCGTCCGCTGAACTCGCAATCGCGTCAGAGAGGCTTCCTCTTCTCTCTTGCAGCGTGCGATCGATATCGGACGTGGACAAATCATGTATGAGACCGAGCCTCCATCCAAAGCTTTCAGTGATGAAGGCTGGGAAACAGAAGCCATGGACGCTGTTTTAATCTTAGACGGGGATATGCACCTCGTGTCCAAGCCTGCTGGGGAGGGTGACATGATTGATACACAGAGATCGTAGCACTTCGCCGATCTTCAATATCCCACGCCTTTGCGACCATAGCCAGTCTTGTGGAAGAAGCTCACTCCATTTATATTCAGGACTTGTTATTCCTGAGCCTAGGGAGACGTTTGCCTATGGGCTACGTGGAGACCATTTGAGGAAAATCCCTTTCGAAGCCTCCTCCAGTACACCCTGTTGGATCTATTCACAATCTGTGAGACACCTGCTGCTTCCAAGTGGAAGCCGTAAAGCTTCACCAGAAGACGGCGGTTATTGAGATGCTGACCTTGGATTTACTGGGAGATCCGAAGGAGTTTACCCATATCAGCGGGCCGTTACTCATCTCCATGCAATGACTCCATACTAAAAGTCAGCCTATGACGCCCATTAGTCCTTCGCCGGCGCCCAGGAAAGTTTTCCCTTCTGTAACTTTCGCTCAATACACATCGGGGCAAGCGGTGCAATAGGCAGACTTATTGTGCCGGTCGTGGCAGTGGAAAAGGTTATTATAACGGGATCAAGGGATTTCAAGGGGCAGTCAAGTTTCTGTCCCATTATTTTCCTGAGCCTTAATGGGGCGGTGCCAGAGGTTCACCTGCATCGTGGTTCTCCAGTCCTGTAACCTCGAGCTAACCGCGCAACTCTTCGGCATGAGGATGGCTAGGAAGCACGATCCCGGTATTGGCTATAGCTTTGCAGCCAGACGTCTGCCACCGACAGTCATCCTCTGAGGGTTCTTTGATCAGGGCACGCATAGGTGTAGAACTTGGAGCCGATGATGGCGGCCTGGCACAGGCTGTACTCGGATAGATGCCGAGCGCCCCGGGCCCGGCTCGCCAGCGGCCCGACATCAGGCTCGCCTTAAGCTGACTTAAGAGGCCGCGAGTTACGATCGAGCGAGCCATTGTGCCTCTTAACACGTTGATATGGGATGACATCGCTGCAGAGGCCATCGTTCAGATACGACATGGCATGGCATCCGAGGTCACTTCGTTGACCTCGTTAACGTGGGTCTTGGAAAGTCCTAAGTCTACAAGGACACTCTCTTCATCCAGTCGACCCTAACACACACCAACGCCATATTGGAACGGGGTTTAGTGGGCCCACTGGGTTTTTCGGCGTTTTCGGCGTTTAGAGGCTAGATTACTAGCCCCCTCAAGGGGCGAGAAGTTAGCTCAGACATTATCATTATCCTTATATAGATAAGAGGCTTAATTTACTTATTTTTTAGTAGATTTTTAAGCTTTTTATCCCGTTCTTTTTAGTTTAGATCTATAAAGAACATGAGGAATCTTTTCCTTTTTTTTTTAAGATCGTAGGCTTTAAAACCGTAGAGTTATGTAGTTATAGTAGTTCTACGCGTCCTCGAGCGCGTACGCGCTGCTGTGCTGCATAGCTCTCGGCCGCCTGGCCTACGACCATTTCAATATAATAGAAGTATGAGTAGGTCAGCGAGAGTCCTATGACTCTTGTCCGGCGGATAGCCGGCAGTGTTGAGCAGTCCTCGAATTTGCTCGCCCTCAATCCCGGACTACCAGACAGATGTGGCTTGAGAGCAATTCCCGATAACTGACCGGTCGATTTGGAAGTTAGACTGCGATTACGATCTGCTGGATTGTGGTACTAGAACAGTCTAGTTTACTGCCACCACTCGCGCGCTCCTTTTCAGCTTACTTGTACTTTTCGTCATTTTGGTTGCTTGGAATATGACTTAATTGGCATCAATCTAAAACATACAAAACTGAGCCTGGACCTGTCGCAGCTCAAGGTCCTGCACCAAGCATAACCGGGGAATAATGACCGACACCCCTTTGAGAACGCCGGATCATCAACTCTCTCCTGGGCTCCGCTATACAGCAGAGGCCCATTTGTTAAATAGCTGAGAAGAGGTGAAGCTAATGCTTGTGGCCTAAGGCACGTTTGGATGACTTCAGCGTTCCGTAATACAGACTCCCGGGCCCAACTGAAGCCAAGGCCAACGTCTCACCGCACGCACGCATGCAGTGCTACGGGTAGTCTGGAGAGACCCCAAACCCTTTAAATGGTCTCATGGCGTGACAAGGATGTGGTCCATTCATAGATATTACCACTCAGGAGGTATCTCTTCGGGTTGTGTTGAAGTATATTAGTCCGTGGACACAAATGCTCAAAGTCTCACAGGCTTCTCATTACGCTCTGTGCCGTCTCTTATTCTATCTATGAGAATCAAACCCTTCAATAAGTCAACCAGGACACAGGAGACAACAATTCCTTCAATAAAGAGCCAGACTGTAATTGCAGGGTATTTCTGATCAGATAATACGTACATTGGTTTCGGAACCAGAGTCCAGCCAAAGACAGTAGCTAGACATTTCAGCAGCAGGAACGAATTGTCTGGCCGTTCTGTCCTTAGATATTCACGTCACATGTTGAAAGTGTTGCTTGGTCATACCACCTAGGGCTGCTGGATATCTCTCGTCGCTATCCCATTGACAACCGAAAAGGCTCAAGATTTTTACACGTCGCATGACGTAGACAGAAATATTTAATTTACCCTAGATGACTTCAATCCACCCATGGCTATGTCAAGGAACGCGGCGAGCTCCCACTTATGCCCGTCATGGCATGTTTTGGAGTGGAAGCACAACTCCATTGATTTCCACAGTGTCGGGAAGACGTTGGCAACCAGCTATCTCGCGAATCGGGTGCGGCGAACACCACATCCGTACCTAGGGGACGTCGCCATAAACTAATTACCTTACGGCAAGCACTGCCAAGCATCGTCAATATGCTCATCACACCTCATCACAGTAACGACATGTCAATCGAATGTAGAAGATTCACCTACTAATGCTTGACTCGTCCCTGGCGTCTAAGTTGCTCCGCCTACCACGTATTGGTTTCATGAGCCCCTCTCACTCTTATTACTCCGCCTGAAGCGCAAACGTGCAGCTCGTTTCGGGAGCTGACTCTAGAGGCGCATTAACCGCTAGTATTAACGTCTCGGATACCCCTTCGTCATCTTCAATTACTGGATGGCACTACCCGGGCCCCTACGGAGCTTCGGTAGTTGGAGTTTATTAAGGCCTCGCAGTACATTGGACGCCCTGCAGCTGCGACTTCATGTATTGCGCTCTGTCTTCATAGAATATTTGGTGATGGAGTCCATCGGTGGCTAAATCTACGCATGAGAATCCGAGACGAGACCTTTCGTGGAAACACGTAGCTCAATGTCGTGGGGAATATCCCCGAGAAACTGAATGCGGTCTGATCAGCGCTCATCAACATCGCGCGCGACTCTTTCATTACAGATGAAAACAGATTGAGCGGCCATGTTTCCTGCTGTAACGCTGTCCGGACGTTTTCTGTCGAGAAGAAGGAGCCGATGTATCTAGGGGTGTCAAAGGGGGAGCTAGACGTCATTGACGTTGGGTGCGACGGCGAGCTTGAGGAGCTTGACACCGAGGTCACTCCATCCTCGTAGTCTCGCTCCCATAGGTTTGAGGCCGAGCATTATGCTGAGTCCGAAAACGACACAGACTTCGAAGGCACGAATGCCAGCACCGACGGCAGCTATTATGGCTTTTCCGGCGATGGCGGTTCGCCCTCTGCTGCCAAGGGCAGACTTGGAGTTGGCCGTTCATGCAGGTCCT